ACTGGCAGCTACAGAAGCCAGTGTTTTGCCGTAAATGCACAGTAGCTGTACTGCAATTTAACCCCACAGTAGATTACTGTCAATGCAAGTACGGTATAGATACTGTGAAAGAACGGTAAAATACTGGCGTCCGTAGCTGCCAGTATTTTACCGTTTTTTTTACGGTAACATACTGGTGTCTGCAGCTGCCAGTAGATTACCGTTTTTTTGACAGAATGGTAAAAAAAACTGGCGTCTGCAGCTACCAGTATTTTATTGGAAATTTACCTTTTCAATCCTGTAATTACTATTTAAAGTGGTTTACTGTCAGTAAAWAATGACGCCAACACACCGCAGATGTCGTACCGCCAACAGCGTTTATTAGAAATAAGAACGAGCTGCTTTCCTGAAGCTGCAGCTCGTGCCTCTAACAAACACTCAACTGAAGGGCTTCACTGCTGACACACACTCAACTCTCCCGTTTTTCGGTGTTCTTCTGATCAGCATCGGTCCTGGTCCTCCCAGTCCCCACATGACGGGTCTATCACATGAGTGGGAGTCAGCAGAGTCAGACAGGGGGAGGGCATAAAGCTCTACACATAATAAGGATCACAATCAACTTAGAACAAATACACAAGTAGTARTCCCTCAGACCCAAGAAAACACGGAGAGCTTCGCCGGTTCCAGTAGATTCGTATTTACTTTGTTCRAAACCAAGTTTGTTGAAGTGCACTGAATTCACCGTGCTCCAAATACACCGTGAAAACTAAAAGAAAAGAAAATATATTGCTTATGTTTKACACAAAACATGAATACATTACATAAAAATGCTAACTTCATAATAAACTKTTAATACAGCTCTAAACATGTACCTCGCTCCGCTGTCCAAGGGCTGCAAAGTTTATGGCGGTAATGTCCGTGCTGTGCTTCCATTAACCTGTTCTGAAGAATGTGTGCTACAGTCCAGACAGTGCTGCCAACTCAAGAGAAAAGCCCCTAYTGGCTGTCCTAAAAGTCACTAGATGACAACATCACCTAATTTGCATAGTTGGATATTTGCCGATAATTGTGATCTGAGCTAGAGAAGAGATGAAGAGAAAAAAGTTAATAAAAACACTGAATATGTTTAGAACTGAAATTAAACATAATGAAATTAAAATATTTTTATGACTTTAATGCTTAGAGTTACATAAATTAAATTTCAGGAATCTTAAATCTAATCTGCAGAGAGTTCGATGTCACGAAACACAGGGAAGAGGTGAAGAAGTGACTGATCTGTGAGCCGGCTTTGAGCGTCGCATCCCGGAGTGGCTGGTCTTGTTTGAAAGCTCTGGTTCTGCCCTACAAGATGAAAGCTGAATGAAGTCCCTGTGACGTTCCGCCGCGGAGCAATAAGAAAAATACCTCCAAAATACGCACTGTCTGACCTCCCGCCGGGGTGGTTTTAGCCCCCCCTCCTGGGCTAAGAGCATCGGATCCTGGCGTAAATGGTCGGGTTTTAAAGCCCTGATCTCCCCTACTAGGAGAACATTGAGTGGAGTCCCTGCGACGTTCCCCCGCAAGATATAAGCAAAAAACCTCCAAAATTACGCACCGTCGGACCTCCACCGGGGGTGGTTTTAGCCCCTCTCCCCGGGCTAGGAGCATCGGATCCCGGAGTGGCTGGTCGGGTTTTAAAGTTCTCCGCGGAGCTATTAACCAACGATCGGCCGAAAAAGGTGCTTTGGCGTGAGATATAGTACTCAATTTACTCCGGAACCTCTAGCTCCAGCTCTGAGCGTCGGATCCAGGCGGGACACAGCTCTTTTTAATATTCTGGATCTCTGCTACAACCTGGAGGTGGTTGCAAGTTCCTGGGACATTTCCACGCGGAGATATAAGCAATCAAATGTCGTCAGGCGAGCTCCGGCGGGTGAAATGGCTGATTTCCAGCACGGGGCTGCTTGTGCTGATGCAGGGGAATAAAAGGAAGAGATCCAGTGAGGTGAAACCGCGGTCCCACGTCCAGCACCCGCTCTCCCATCTGGATTCAGCCTGAAACCACTGGCGGGCGATATTTCTGCAAAAATGCATAAAATTCAGAAACCCACCTGATGGATCACTTCCAGGCAATAAAAGGAACAGATCTGATCAGATTAAACCGGTCCTGGAAGCTCAGCACCGGGTTTTATAGCCGCCTGCGAGTGAGTTTTACACTCACCGGCCACTTTATTAGGTACACCACGCTAGTAACGGGTTGGACCCCCTTTTGCCTTCAGAACTGCCTCA